AAAAAAAATAAAAAAAAAAAAAATATATACCGACGAATTGAATACCTCCTTCTTTTGGGAAGTCGGTCAAAAAAAAACAAATCCAAGTTGCCGATGTGTCCTTCCAGACTATCCTCTTTATCTATGTCAAATTTTATCAAAATCCGTTCAGCCGTTTAGGCTACAAACTATAAAAAACATCCATAAATCCATCTAAACTTTCGCATTTATAATATTAGTATGAATATTATGATAGAATTGGAATTGATAGTATACAAATTATTTTTTATATAATAGTTATTTTTAAATTATACAAAGCGGTGAAAACCCTAGTATTAGGTGGACAAAAAATCAAAGATTTCTTTTTGCGGATGTTTCCAGTCGATCGCGGCTGGCCCCCATACATACGGATGCATGCGGATGCACGCTTCACTATTGCAGTAAACAATACTTTTTTCATTCATTTACAGTAAATGTTCACGCACCAATAGCTTACGAATTCAGTATTAGTTAGTTGTTTAGATTTCTAGAAAAGTCAATAACTATAAGGTTATAAAACTTTAAAACAATTTGACAATTTTATGTAATTTTATCTTACTTCTTGCTAATGTTATAAATGCGAAAGTTTAGATGGCTGGATGTTTGTTAGAGTTTGTAGCCTAAACGGCTGAACGGATTTCGATGTAATTTGGCATACATATAGAGGATAGTCTGAAAGAACACGTAGGCTTCTTATTTTTTTTCACGCTGACGAAGCCGTAAGCGAAAGCTAGTTTGTTCATAAATTCGAGCACATTATTAACAGTTAGTCGACGAGCCTAAATGTTGTCATTATTAACCGCCCTTGTCATTTAACCTTAAGACAGCGAACAAAGCGGGGTCAGCACGCGCCCTTGAGCGCTGCCCCCGCCGCCCCCGCCCCGAGCGCTCACCTCGACTCAAACTCATCGCTAATATAATTTTTATTGTCTTAAATTGTTATATTTATTGTAACAAATACAGAGAATAAGTACATACATATCTCGCGTTAGGATTCTTTTCCCTTAGGGACATCTTACTATCTTACTTCTTACTAATGTTATGCGAAATTTTAGATGGATGGATGAATGTTTGTTCGAGTTTACATCTACACAGCTGAACGGAGCTCGATGAAATTTGGCATAGATGTGGAGCAAATTCTAAACACTTAGACTACTTCCTTTGGTTTTGTTTTCATTCCACTAGGACGAAATCGCGGGCGAAAGCTAAATTGTACAAAGCCACCTTAAACATGAATAGGTTATATTTTGCCGTGAAGTTCCACTGTCGAAAACCTTATATTACAATATAATATATTGAATACAAGTGTACGGACAATGAAAACCAATTTAGAATAAAAAAACCAAGTAGTACATCATTGACTTCTAGAATAATCATCACATACACAAGTTATTATTACTAAGTTTAAATTATTAGTTCGAGAAGTCTCTGTTAAGAAAAGGATACCACAAAGCAACCAAACTGTACGATTCGAATTAATTCTGCGAAAAAAAAGATATTGCGATCCAGTTTTTGTCCGCAGTCGACAAATTTCCAGACAAATGACGTCACCCAGTCGAATGTTCCCGTGGCAGAAGGGCGTCTGAGGGACGAAACAAAGGTAAGTAGCGGTTGATAATATTCATTCGGATAATAATAATTTACAAGTAAACATGCTATAGAGATCCGTTCAGCTGTTTACGTTAGTTAACAAATATGCATCCAAACTTACAAACTCTCGCAATTATAATCTAAGTTTTTGTTTTGTCATCGAAAATCCAATCTTTTCATCTTGTAAACTACGAAAGAAATAAATTGTACAAACGCGTCACTAAAACACCTGTGGTTTTGTACGTGTTTTTTTTTTAAATTTCTAAGTATCGGGACCGTATAATTTTGTGCGCCGCTCGAGTGACATCGCCACTCATTAGCGCACAGGTAATCGCCTGTTTATCTCGGCGATTGGCTGACGTCAGCTGATAGCAGCGTGCTAACGAACCCGATAAAGCAAGCACTACGCCCCGCTCCCCACAAGCTGTATTAATATTTTTAGGAACAAAAATCATTCAAAAAACTTCTATGAATACCCCATTGGATTATGCATATAAAGAATGGCAAGACATTTCTAAGCGATAATTTGAAAAATCAACGTCATTGTGGTTAAATCAAAACTTGTAGTGCAAGAAACACTGATCATTATTAATACATAGGCTTGGAAATTACATATTTTGCTTTGTACTCAAAACGCATTTGATATCGTTACTGACAGTTTATTTTATCTCTATTATTTAAATCTTAAGTCTTACATTTATGGTGGTCATTAAAAAGAAGGCATAGACCATAAACAGTAGTTTTTTTTATAAATGGCAACACTTTACATATTGAGATATAACGGTTTATCTATGGTCATTTTTTCTAATGACCTTCTTGCTTGTCTTATTTTACCGCATAAACATTACGTTACGAATATTATGTACTTCCTTTTGCAGTAAATTCCATACCGTAAACGTAAACCTTATCGTTGTGAAGTTATTTGCTTTTATATCCTGACAACCAGTTTTCTTTTATCAGTCGTTAAAGTTCCAAGGTTCAAATGTTTCGTTTACACGTTTCTGTTAACTGCCAAACTGCCAGATACCAATGAAACCAGCCCAACTGAATTAATCCAATATAAGGAAATAAGTGACAATTTATTCTTAAAACAAAGAGAGCAATGTTCTTTCATCATCATCCACTTGCCCTTATCCCTTACGGAAAGCCGGCACAGTATGAGCTGCTCTCCCATACATCTCTATCAGCCGTCATATCTGAATCCACTCCTTTCTTAAGCATATCCTCTTTCACACAATCCATCCATACTTTCTTCCTCTTTCTTTGTAGCCATCCACATTCAATCTTAACACTTTCTGGTTTATTGACCGACTTCCCAAAAGAAGGAGGTATTCAATTCGACGGTATATTTTTTTTTTTTATTTTTTTGTACCCATCGCTTCGTCGCATAACATGTCCATACCACGCTAACCTTTTGCTAGAGCAATGTTTCTAGTTAAAAAATCAAACAAACTTATAGAAAGTAATTTTATTTACAATTTTTCATAATAAAAAACAAACTTAAATTACTTTATACAAGAGATAAATTGTATTTTATATTAATACTAAAAGAACTGCATTTTACTGTAGACCAGTGATTCCGTCTTTAAAAAAAGTTTGAGGATCTCGACTTAAAAAATTATGCGTTAAATGGAATAAGTCGATCTTTAATACTTTAATTGCACCATATTTATTTATATTGCATAGGTATTTGTCTAGTGTATTTACGCGTGAGATGCACAAGGTTTTAGTGCTTGAAAACTTTCTTCTACCCACTTTGGTGTTACCAACAATTTTATGAGATTACTTATTTTGTTTTATACATTTAGTTAATTTTCGTGTTTGTGATATTTTGATGTACATGCTGAATCTTTATAGTCATGGAAAAATAACTATTATTATTAACGTATAAGTTTAAAATACTGGTAATCGTTTTTAAATTACGTTTATTTTTATGACATATTGATGTAGGTATAGAATGTTGCCATTTCAATGACGATTGTGGCGCCATCTATTTTTAAAAAGATTCCTTTAATAAAATGAAGTTTATGTTAAAATTGTATCAATGGAATGAAAATAAAAATGTCTGAAAATTTAATTTAACCTGTTTTATAATAATTCTACTAAAAATGTCTTCAAATACCTAACATTAGCATAAGATAGTTCTCTCCTGCGTTCTTTACATCTAAAATTGTACTATTATATCATATTTAATACAAAAAAAACTTTCATAAATTTAACTAAAACTACAATATACAATATATTAATTATTTACAATAAATTGTAATACAGTATTTAAGTCTATTTGTTGAATAATAAATAATTTTATGAACAGTTTTTGTAATTTCATTTCTTATCGAGTTAGAACAACAAAAACTTCATACACGACACTTACAAATATGACTTAAAACTATTGAAATATAAAAAAGTAGAAAACATTAACTACATAAACATTTCATTTAAAATTATATTACTAACTTACATTATACTTATATCAACATTTGCTTATGCAAATATCACAAACTCCACTTACTCCTATTAATCAAGAAATCTAATAAAAAAAACTATATTATAAGACATAAATACACTATAAAGGAAATTAACTAAAATCTAGCAAAAAGTCCATCTATACCGTAAGCTAGGGTTTCCAACATTTCATAAAAGTAAACCCTAAAAACCACTTTGACTCGAAAATTCAGGTAAAACTGAGATGTGGCAACCCTACTATCAACGTCAAAATGCAATATAACTCTATTGTCTTTGACTTATTGCGATGACATTGTCTATGGATTTGTTTAGAATAATTTTAGTGATTAAATTGAAAATAAAACCGTTACAAATCTGTGACAGCCTTTTAGAGGTAAATTTCTTTAAATTACATTTTTACATTTTCATTAAATTTGAAAAATGTAAACGAAGTTTTTTTTATGGATATAGAACACGAGGTGTTAACAAAAAAAGGTATTATCCAACAGATGTCAAAATTCAATGAAATGCATAAACGTAATGTGTCAATTATAATTGAAAAAGATAAAAGTATATTTAAAACATATTAATTGTTACGGTGGGTTTTCTTTGACTTTTGTTTTTAATTTTTGTGTTTAAACAATAGCTTTTCTATGCAACTGAACTTTCACGGTTAAACATTTTATTGTTTTGAATAATCTTTTATTTTTGTCTACGCTTTTTTAGGCAGATGCGATGTCAGAATTTTCTTTGCAATAAAATATAAAATTATTAAGTACTTATCCATATTGTTACACTATATTATATTATTTATTCTTAAAGTAGGGTTTAAAACATTTTCACAATACATTTACAAAAGTAGACAATCCTTATTAAAACTGTAAATTACGGAATTACTTAGATTTACTTTATTATATTGACAATTTCAACACAATCAATATATTTTATTTTAAATTTACTTAAAAATAATCACTTAATAATGTACATTTTTATATACACACAGAATATATAATTACAACGATTCTATTAGTTTATTTGACAGTTTGTCTATGGATTGTCAAATTGACATTAATGAGTGCAAAATTAACTTTTGCTTAACCTAAAAATAGATGTCAACATGAATAAATCTTTTATAATCTGTATTTACAATATTTACAATACATATCTTATATAACTGACATACATTGTTTATGGTTCACATATATTATCAAACATAATTTTTAACCTCATTTAAATACGTATTTGGTTCTATTATTTATTCCTGTACACTTAATGTCTATTTCATCATTGTAAATGCCGCCTGTATACACCGCTGTCTTTAATGCCCGGTTTACACTGGCCAGTACAGTAACTGGACTGGATTAACTGGCTTAGTGTGAATATCAAACGAAGTAAAAGTCAATTTATGAATGGCCGTCGCAACTGTCCATTATTAATTACAAAACTATTAATTATTAATTAATATATATTCATATATTATTAATAGTTGTGCTGATATAAAAGTCATTCACACTAATGAAAGACTCCCGAAGAGTCCAAAACTGATTGTGTAACCTACACCGAATGGTTCAAGTGAGTTAAGCTGTGTTTTATAATTAACTAGCTTTCGCCCGCGACTTCGTTCGTGTGAAATTGAAAAAAACAAAAGTAGGTATGTGTTTTTCCAGACTATATCGTACTATAACCTCTACATCTATGCCAAATTACATCGAGATCCGTTTAATCTACAAACTTTAACAAACATCCATCCATCTAAACTTTTGCATTTATAATATTAGTAAGTTTTCTTACCAAAGTGTTACCCGTTAAATGCATGATAATGCATTTAGACATCAGTCTTCTCTTCCACACCCAATAGATTATTAAAAAAAAATCCTTGATCTATGTTCAATTTACTACCAGATTCAGTTAGGGGTTAAGTGACTGTACTGTCGCAGTGTGAACGGGGCATTATCTAGGGGTTGTCGTAGTGTGGT